AAAAGAGGTTTAAAGTTATTTGTCTCTGATAGCTTGTAAATTTTTCCTAAAAGAAACCAGACTGAGGGTGAGTGAGATGGATCAGTGGTCAAAGGAGCTTGCTGCTAAATCTGATAACATGAGTTTGACACCATGAACCTATATGGTGGGAAGAGAGAACTATTTCAAAGTTGTTCTGACCTACACACACACACACACACACACACACACACACACACACACACACACACACACCAGGATGAATATACTACAACAGGCTAGGCTGTAGCACAAGTACATCCTGCAGCCATTTTTTTTCCTTTAATAATTTACTATGACAATAACATTATTAGGCAGAGAAATGCACTTCAGTGGAATGGAGCTCGCTCTGAAGTTCAGGCTGGCTTCCACCTGACTCAACTTCCCAAGTGCTGGAATTAAAGGCCACTCTCTGACCATATTTCATTTTTTATGGTATTGGGGATGAAACCTGGGGCCTCAGGCATGGCAGGCAAGCTGTAACCTACATCCTCAACTCACGATACTCATAGTTAAAATATATAGTTCCATATTATAACATATTTACCAACAGATGAATGAGTACCAAGATACAGAATATTTTCCTCAGCTGAATATGTTGTATTGTGCACCTTTACAGTCAGAAAGACAGCAACTTTCAAGTCAGTCAAAAAAAAATGGGTTCAATTTATAAGGCATATGATATTTTTGCTTATTCTAGAAGTCATGGAATGCAATCACCTAGAGCACACTGCTCTGCATCTGACAGCTTTCCCTAAGCCTATCTTTTGAGCTTCCTCTGTTGCTCTGGACCAGTAACTCGCCCTTCCCTTGGATTAGTTGTGTTCAAGGAAATAGATACATAAAAAGTTGTTTTATTCATTTCTTTATGAATGATTATATTTTTATCAGCTTTGTAGCTATCAATATACCTGTGCCAAAATTTGCCAGGAAGTAATTTTTGAATTGTTGTTGGGAAGATTCCTAAGAGTTCACTTTCTGAGAAAATATGATATACATGTTTAGCTTTTCATAAAATTGCCCAAAAACTTACTGAAAAGTGATTTCACTTCTCACCAGCAATGAATGGATGCTCTTTTTCTCTATCCAAGAAATAGCAGAGACTGTCAGCTAGCTTACCTTTACCATTTCAATCAGTTCATTTGGATTTGTACTTGACTTTTTTTTCATCACACTGGCTTTTAATATGGTTTTCATTGTACTATCGCCTTCTTAATTTGAGTCTCAGGAGTTCTTTATACATCTGCTGGCTACAAGTAAATGAACTTGCATCATAAATATGGTCTGCTTGTTTCAAACTGTCTGTTTCTTTGACTGTTTCCTGAGTCAGGATCTTGCTGTAGTTTCCAGGCTGTCCTCAAACGTAAGGGCTCAAGCTATCAGTTCTGCAAGTAGCAAGTACTACATGTGCTCTCCACAGAGGGCCTCATGCATGCCCAATGAGTGCTAACATGGACCTTTAATCCAAGCCCTCCATTTCAGTGTGTGTGTGTGTGTGTGTGTGTGTGTGTGTGTGTGTGTGTGTGTGATATGTAAGTGTGCATATGTGGATAGGGGTGCACAGGCTCTAGTGTATGTGTGGAGGTCAGATGTGTGTGTCAGGGATCTTCCTCAGTCTCTCTCTCTCCCTTTCTTTTTTGAGATAACATTCTATTTAATGACCCTGGAACTTGCTGATTTGGCTGGACTAGCTGGCTATCAAGTCCAAGCGATCTTACTGTCTCCATCTCCCCAGTGCTAGGATTACAGGCTCATGTTACCCAGCATTACTTTTTACAAGGGTGCTAAGGATTCAGATGCAGGTTCACAAGCTTTCCCAAACGAGTGATCTCCCTAACTCTACTTCAATTTTTTGTCTTTAATTTAGAAACACTCTTATTTTAGATATCAATCCCAGTTCCCTCTCCCTCCCATCCTTCCATGCCCTCCCAACCTTCCCCCCTCCCGCCCCATCCTATTTCAATTTTTAAGCTATGTTTTTTAAAGGGCAATGTTTTAGCCAGGCAGTGGTGTTAACCCCTTTATTCCCAACACTTGGAAGGCAGAGGCCAGCCTTTGAAGAGTGAGTTCTAGGACAGACAGGGCAACACAGAGAAACCCTGTCTTGAAAACAAACCAACAAAGGTAATGTTTTAAATTTCATAAATCCAATTACTTGTTTTTTTAATGATTTGTTATTTATAGTCTATCTAAGCAATCTTTGTTTCCTAAGATTGTAGTGCTTTTATATTTTATTTTGAAAATTTTATAGTTTGAGTTTTTACATTGAGGCCTATGGTCTGCTTTAAACTAATTTGTGTAAGTAAAGGGAAAAGGTCCCTGCCCCTCACCAGCTGCAGCACTCAGGAGTGTGGTCCCTACACCATGCCTGGGCAGCAGAGTAGAGTTTACTGGGAAGGTGTAGGAGGTGTGGGAGGTCTGACACTGAGGACATGAAAGCAGCAGAACTGGCCCTGCTTCTTACTAGCCGGGCCATGCTGGAGCACTCCCTCTAGTGGTGAGAATAAGGAAGAGCTGGCAGACTGACAACCTGCAACTACCCAGGCCCAGAACCAGGGTTATGAGTTGGCCCACCCCACCTATGATCTGCTGGAACACATGAAGGGAATGGTCCTACAGATGTAAAGCTGCAGGATTTCCATAACATTGGGTAATCGCAGGATAACCAAAAGGAGCTCCAGTGAGGGCCCAGCACAGATAGCATAGCAGAAACCAGAGACCTCAAACCAGACCAATGACTCTTTGCAATGAACACTTGTAATTAAAGATGTATGGAGTAAAGAGCATTCTGTGCGACTTACTGTGTCTCACTGAAGCTTCCATTCTGAGATTGATTTTTTTCCTTCTCTCTTTTCTTTTTTTCTTAAATTTTATTTTATATTGAGGGAAATGTTGCAAGGGTAAATGGTGGATATGAAAGGAGAGGAGGAAATGAATGGAACAGAGAAAAATGATGTGAAAGACACAAAGAATAAACAAAAAGGAGAAAAAAAGTCTCTTTTGTTCCTGGAAGAATTTGCATTTGTCTCCAGAACTATTTGTTGAAGAATATACGTTGCCCAATGGATTATCTTGATACCTTTGTAAAGAAATGAATTGGCAGTGTATGCATAAGTCTATTGCTGGGTTCAATTCTGTTCCAGTTATGTATAGCTAGAGTATGTCTTTAGTAATACTCCATGCTACTACACTCCTTTACTAAGACAACTTAAACCTTGAAAACATGGTCATCAATGCTCCAGATGTTTTTCCTGAAAATTAGTTTATGCTTGGTCCTTGGTTTTTCTACATAAATTTTAGGTATAAGTTTGCAATTTATCAAAGAATGACTGCTGTCATTGGGAGTTTTATTAAACTAAATATGTAGATTAATTTGGAGTATTGAATTGCAGAAAAAATTACTGTTGTATACATTTACACTTGTTTTGGTCTTTAGTTCCTTTCATCATTATTTTACAGTTTTAGTATATTGCTTACTTTGAAACATTTCACATTTAAAGCTCATAAAGCATACAAATGATACTTGTACTTTTCAATTCAAGTGTATTTTGTATGAAAATCATGTATGTGAAATTCTCCTACACTGAATTCCCAATTTTCTGGGAGATTACTTTCCCCTGTCCTCTGCTCCCAGAATGCCACTCTTTCCTTTTGCTGTCCTCTCAGCTACCAAAGCTCATCCTGAAATAGATTTACTGTATATAACTTAAGATTGTTTAAATATATATATATATACATATATATATATATGCATGCTTATTGACTTGCAAACACATATGAACCATTTGAAGCAGAAATTTTAGAAAGAGATTTATTTCTTTTCATTCTGAAAATCTCACAACGTTTTTGTAGCACAGTATATTCTGGCTCACCTCATGAAAATGCCTTGCATGTCTAGGGGCCCCTCACAGGGGGAACCATCAGCTGCCCTGTCCTTTACCAAGGTCCAAAAACAGCAGCTGTTGCCAGTAGAGTCTATATTTATAAAATGACTTAGCAGAAGAGACAGATGGTTAGTTTTTTTCCCCCAAATTTAATCCTGTTTTTCAAATAAGACTTTTTTTTTTTGTTCTTTCTGAAATGAGCCAGGATCTCCTCAGCCCAAGTCAGAATAAAACTAGAGATCCTCCTGCCTCAGTTCTCCCAGTGCTTGGTTTTTACTGGCAAGAGATATTCTTCCCCGCCTTTTCTTTTTTAATTTTAATTTAAATATACTTGTACCAATTTCCTTCCCAAGTCCCTACTCTCCAGTTCCTTTCATGCTTCCTCCACTCTCAAATTGATGGCCTCCTCTTCCCTAATACTATCATTACATATAAAAGACATGCTTTTCATTTATCGCCAAAAAATGCAATACAGAAACGCATTAAGATTTAAAATAAAATTAAAAAAAAAAATTAGCCAGGCGGTGGTGGCACACACCTTCAATCCTAGCACTCAGGAGGCAGAGGTAGATGGATCATTGAGTTCAAACACAGCATGGTCTATAGTGTGTGAGTTCTAGGACAACTAGGGGCTACACAGAGAAACCCTGTCTCAAAAATAAAAAAAAAAAAGAAAGAAAGAAAGAAAGAAAGAAAGAAAGAAAGAAAGAAGAAAGAAAGAAAGAACAGGAAAGGAAAAAAAATTATAAGCTTCTTTCTTGGCTAACTTCCTCATAGAGTTTACAGTGAAGGGGAAATGGATAACGTTGGTAGCTGTGGGGGCAGCAGAAGGAAGGAGGGGCATCCTGAAAACGGAGGAGAGGGAAAATCAATGCCTCAGAGAAGTGGAGATGGCTAACAGCCCATTGGGAACACACTGCTCTTTCTCGGTCAGACAAAGAAATGCCCACGGCTCAGAGTGACGGGGCCGGGGCTGGACACATCAAAGTGACCTAGAGATGAGGAAGGGGCCTGGACTTTGCCCGACCAGACACTGAGGGCAGGCAGAGGGGGCTGGGGCCGGGGGCGGGGCTTTGGTTTGTGATGCGGGTGTCACGTGACTAGCCCACGCAGGCTCACACCCCTCTCCGGGTCTCTGGACCTGCCCTGCTCACTCCCTCCAGCCCGCCATCCCTGGCTGAGGCACCTGTTCCTGGTGGCGCAGAGCGCGCGGCCTGAGCAGCGAGGAGAGCGGGAGCCCAGCAGGTGAGGGAGGCAGCGGCCCGGGGCTGCGGAGCCCCCGTCGTCGTCGGGGTGCGGCGATCCCCGGCCCCGCTGTCGCAGCACAGGCCGAGGCAGCAGGTGGCCGCCCCTGTGTGCGCAGCGGCGCGGCCAGAGGGACGAGGGCGGGCCCAGGCGGAGACCCTCAGGGAGAAGGAGCATGCGCCCCTCGACCGCTTCCACAGCCCCCACCCCATCCCACCCCTACCCCACTCCATCCCACCCCACCCCTACCCACTCCATCCCACCCCGCCCCGCTCCGCTCCCCTGCATCTCGGGTACCCAGGGCTGCTCGGTGGGGCGGGGGGCGGGGGCGGCGATGGAGGAGGGAAGAGCCTGGGTGGGGGCTCCCAGGGCAGCGCCGCGAGTCCTCCCTCCCTCTCTGTCTCTTTCTCTTTCTCTCCCTCACCATCCCACCCACCCACCCCCTCCTGCCTGGTTTGTTCTCAGATCGCGGGAGCCCAGCTTCGCAGCGCACCTGGTGGTGAGCATATCCTGGAGGAGGAGAGGACAAGGTTAGGCCCAGGTGTGTACTGGCACAGGGCCGGAGGCTTGTGCAAAACTGACTCTGACATCCCACAGCCCAACTGTCCCCTTCTATGCCATCCTTCTTTCTCATCCTTTTCTTCCATTTTAATGACGTAGATGCCTTGGAGATGGATCTGCAGGGAAAACGGTGGGCTTTGGGGAGAGATGGGCTGGATTTGGGCCCTCTAGTGAGCATGTGGGCCTCTTGGATTGGATTGGGAAATGAGTTTTGAAAGGTGCACAGTAGGTACTCTGTTCTCCTTGCTGATCAGTCCACCAAGATATGTTTTCCTTTTCTTGCTTCTTAGGAATAATGGAGTCCAAAGATCAAGGAGTAAAAAATGTCAACATGGAAAATGACCACCAGGAAAAGGAGGAAAAGGAAGAAAAGCCGCAAGATGCTAACAAAAGGGAGCCGCCAGTGGCCCTGCCTTTGGAAGCTGGCGAATACTGTGTACCTAGAGGAAGTCGCAGGCGGTTCCGTGTTAGGCAGCCCATCGTGCACTATAGATGGGACCTGATGCATAGGGTTGGAGAGCCCCAGGCAAGGATGAGAGATGAGAACATGGAAAGGTTTGGGGAGGATATGAGACGGCTCATGGAGAAGTTGAGGGAAAGGCAGATGAGCCATAGTCTGCGGGCAGTTAGCACTGACCCCCCTCACCATGACCATCATGATGAGTTTTGCCTTATGCCCTGAATCCTGAAGTTTTATCTGAAGAAGATGATATGGGGACCCCTGATTCCAAAACTTACATGTTTGTGGTGTACTGTTTTAAAATTTTTGAGGTTACTTCTTTCATGTGGATCTCTTCCTGTTACCAGCTTCTAATTAGAATTTGTGTTTTGACTCAGTCTGTAATTCTTTTGTTAGCAGAATTTATCAGTTGCATGAAAAATGCATATTACATATTGTGAAGTGAATAAAGCAGATTAAAAAGGCAATCTCTGTGCTTTTATTTATTTTTTCTTTATATAAGAGTACAAACAGTCATGTAAATGGAGTAAGTAATGTTTATCACTGGAAGAACTGAAAACAATTTTCAATATAGTTCTTCATTTTTCAAAATTTAACACGTATTGCTTAATGAAGAATTAGGTGGCTTGAGAGATTTCTTAATCTTAAGAGCACTGGCTATTTTTCCAGAGAACCCAGCTCTAATTCCCAGCACTCACAAGGTAGCTCATAACCATATGTAACTCCAGTCCCAGGGAATCTGATAACTTCTGGGCACTAGGCACACATATGGTGGAGACATACATATAGCCAAAACACTCATACATAAAATCTTTAAAACATTAAAAATTGGGGTGGGAGAGAGAACTGTGGTTGGAATATAAAATGAAATAAAAAAAACATGAAAAACCATTAAATTAAAAATAGAAATAATCGGTTTTTAATAACCTTGTAAAATGAGAGAATTTCCTAGGCTTGTGATATAACCTCACATTAGTTTACCATCTGGCACCTGTTATTGGGAAAATAATAAGTCTGTTTAGTATCTATCCTTGTGTTTATCAGTAAAGTGAAAACAATCACCTCAGAGCTGCTGTGTGAACTAGATGAGGTGATAAGTTCTTAAGCTTTTTCAAAGTTTTCATTCTCTTGGCATGTATATAAGTTAACCCTGAAATGCTTTCAGTTTTTAGGGGGTGTTTGTAAGATGGGGTCGCTACTCAAAGGTCCTGTGGGACAAAGGATAGGCACATACTTCTTTACTGTGTCCTATTACCTTCCTTTCCCTGAGAGTCTATGTACTAGATGGCTCCTACACCAGAACCCTACAGATATTCACAAATCCCCCAAAGTGAGATATTTGCACTGATTTCTCTGGAATGCCCATTGTAGTGGATCCTGCTTTATATACATAGCTAGATTCCTTTCTGTTTATCTTTTTGATAAAAATCATTTGTCTGGGGGCAATTATCTCTTTAGCTGAGCAGATTATGCAAGATGTATGCGGCAACAACTCACTGAATCTGAGACAGTTGCTCACAATAGCTCACATTAACCCAAAACTTAGGAATGTACAGAATTTTGTTCTATGCTGAGTTGAACAACAGAATATCATGCCAGTGTATCAGGGTTTTAATTACATGAAAAAAGTACATTTTATTTATGGAAATTGATTTTATTTTGTGGTGCTGAGTGGTAAAGCCACAGATTGGCACATACCAGGCATGCCAGTGTTCTGCAAAAATAAACTTAAAATGTAGGACTCTGGAACAGAGTAGTAAGTAACTCATGACCAAATCTGGCAAACTGTTTATTTGGAAAATTGTAAGAACAGTTGAAAAAATACTTTGTAACACACAAAAATATTGAATTTTAATTTAGTGCTTATAAAATGTTATTGGAGCACCAAATGCTAATTCATTTACACATTGTTTATGGCTGTTTTTATATTACAGTGACAATGTTGAGTAGTTATAAACTAGTGATGCTCATCAAAGACTGTCACCCGGTCATGATATAAGATGGTTCTCACCCTCTGCATTCGACTAGAACATGAGAGCTGCACTTGGGGAAATGAGGGGAAGTTAACAGGTAAAAATATCCATCATAAAAGGTAACAAACACCAATATGAACAATATGCTTATTTCCAAACTGTTCTAGCCTTTCATAAGCAAATTCATGGAGACAACAATTAATGCAAATTATCTATCAAAGTGTATGGATGCATTTTCCTATGAGGTACTTTTGCTACATTCTTTACAAAAAGTTAGGCAATAAAATTCTGGCAAGGTACATGTATTCACAGAGAAAAAGAATGTTCAAAAAGAAGCTTGACCCTGCTCCAGTAACATATAAACATCACTGTTACTGTTATTTTGCCATATAATATATTTTAACCCATTCACTCCTTCACTTCTAATATGTATTTCTACAATACAACCAAAAGAGTTATTTAACTATAAATATACTCATTTGAAGTTTTTAGTTTGGTGTAGTTTGAAAATATTGTGGATGTTATGGCGTTTAAGGCACTCTGAAGCACAGCCTACCCTAGAAATCACTATATAGCCCAGACTCCACAGGAACTCACAGTGATCCTTCACTCTTAGCAGCCTGAGTTCTAGGATTATAGACATGAGCAGCCATATTTGCCTGCGAGTGTATTTGAATGGCATAAAGGAGGCTTTATGTATGTATGAGTGAATTGGATCATTGAGGCTTAGCCTATCATAGGTATCCAGTAAATACTAATGAAATATGTGAAAAATAACAATGTAGTGCTACTCAAAATTATCAGTATACAATTTAGATGCTTGCATATTTCTAAAAATCTAACAAAACCAAAGTGATACCATCATTCATTTTATATATTTTTTCTAACATAATTATTTATTGATTTTTTGAGAATTTCACATCGTGCAACCCAATTCCACTCACTTCCCAGTCCCTCCATTTCTTCCTCTCACTGCTGTAGCATCCCTCCAAAAGAACCCCCCCAAATATCAATTCAAAATAAAACAAAACAAAGCAAGCAAAAACACCTCGATCTTCCATCTTTCCACACCTCTTCATTTATACTAGTGACATTGGTAGCTGTGGTGTGTCAAGCTTTTGTCCAATCAGCTTCACTTACAAAAGTTCATTGCAATGACTCATTGGTCTTGTTCACACCATTATCACTGGACCCTCACCAAAACTCCTCTCATATATCCTGCTGTTGTCCTGACTCATGGAGTGGTTATCTTTTGGTAGAACCAGTCCCTTCACACACTACCCATGGGGTAGGTGTTAGGGTGAGCCAACCCAAGGCCCATGATGTGGGTTTGGGTGGTAACTGAGCTAGCCTGTCTGAGCTACTGGGACTACCCCCATCAGAATCAGCTCTTTTAGGCTAATGTCATCAGGGCTAGCTTTCCCACACCCATAGTGAGGGGTGGAGCAGCTCTCCCATGGGAGGTGGGACCACTCTCCTGCTGCAGTGACCAGTGAGAGTCAGGGAAAGACAGGTCAGGCTCAGCACAGACCTTGGATTTTAATGTGCATGGTTCCTATGATCCCTTGTGGAAACATGGACAACGGACATCATCACAGACCTCAGCAGCAGCCCAGGCATAGTCCTCAGTAGCAGTTTGGGCCTGGATGTCACCATGGCCCCAGTGGCAGCATAGGCCACCCAGATCAATATGACCCTGTTGACAACATGGCCCTTGGATATCAACGTGGTCACAGGTGGTAGCCCAGACTCCTGGCATTTGCATAGCCTTCATGGTATAAGGAACCATGAACTTAGATATGACCCTTAGCATCAGACCTAGCCTGGACAACACCCTGGCTCCAGGTGGCAGCACTGGCCATTCAGAGCAGCATGAACTCTGGCAGCAGCATGGCCCTTTCAAGGTAATATGACCACATGCTGCAGCCTTTACCCTGGTCATCTGTGTGGTCTTTGAAGGTACCATGGACCATGGACATCAACACAGATTCCAAACGTGGTAGAATCATGGGCCTGGGCATGGTCCTCAGCAGTAGCCTGGGCTCTGATGTCACCATGGCTCCAGATGGCAGCATAGGCCACTCAGATCAGCATGACTTCAGTGGCAGTATGCCCTCAGACACCAACATGGCCCTAGAAGCCAGCCAAGACCCCTGGTATCAGCATGGCCTTTGATGGCATCAGAAGCCACAGACATTGACACAGACCCTGGCTGCTGTAGGGTCACAGACGCAGACATGGCCTCCAGCTACAACCTGGGTTCATATGCCACCATGGCACCCTGTGGAAGCATAGGTCACTCAGATCTATATGGCCCTGGCTGCAGCATTACCCTCACAACCCCACCTGGCCTCAGGTGATGGCCAGGCCCCAAGTATTTACACAGCCTTCAGCAGTATCAAGAACTACAAATATCAACCCAGACCCTGGCTACACTAGGGTTATGGACCCAGACATGGCCACATCAGATGTCATCCTGGCCCCAGGTGGTAGCACAGGCCATCCAGATTAGCATTGCCTTGGCAGCAGTGTAGACCTCGGACACCAACATAAATTCAGGTGTCTGACCAGACCCCGGTCATCCAAATGGCCTAAACTTTCTAGTTTACAGCAGAAAATAAGCACATAAATATATACTCTGGGTACAAGAGCAGTAAAGCTTTCATCATTAACATTTAAACATTAAGCTACCTTTATGAAAATGAAGGAACACCAATGAAAATGGAGTAACCAAGACTAGGTTTACCTCCCTAACTGAATTTAAAACCTGAAAAAAAAATTCATGAAATGGTAAGTTTTGGTCACTGAACATTAGGCACAATAAATTGTATAACATAATATCAGGGACAAATGAAGTCATTACATCATTTTAAGTGGTAAATTTGTACATATTACAGTGTTTCAAGGTACATGAAGCCAAAATTCTTACTTCAATGAAAAATAAGCAAATCAAGAAAAGTCAGAAATTGTCTCTAAAATAGTAACAGAACAAGCAAACAGAAGACTTCAAGAATATGAATAGTTTCGTCTATTTGGTGATTATATAACTTCCCACCACAGTAGAAATTATACATGATTTACATGTGCATGGCATACTTAACAATGTAATCCATATTTACTGTCATACAATACGTATTAATATTGCTAACAGTATTTAAATGATATTTGATATTGTTTTCTCAGAGTACAATGAAATTAAATGAGGAATCACTATAAATCCCTGGAAAATGCTAAAATCTTGAAACAGAAACAGTTAACATGTGCAAGTAATTTATGGCCCAAAGTAAAAACAAAATTGGAAATTAGGACATTTGAAAAGTTCATGGGTAGACATATGCACAGCATGTCTGAGGCTCTGGGATCAATCCAAAACTGAAAAATATTTCAAAAAAGGTTTATCATTTTCAAATTTTATTATTTATTGAGAATTTCATATTGAGTACTGTATTTACATCAGTCTCCATTCCTCTCCTCCTTCCTACTCCTCCTGTGTCCCTCCATTATGACACCCTCTCAAATTCTTGGAATCTTTTTCTTTCATTATTTTTACTTACACAGACACACACACACACACACACACACACACACACACACACACACTTATAAATACAATCTGCTGAGTCCCTTTAATGTCACTAATATGTATATGTGTTCACATCTGACTTCTTGGAATTGAATAATCTATTATGGGACTGTCCCTGGAGAAGACTGATTCTCCCACTCTTAGTAGCTCTTAGTCGCTGTTCTGTTTCTGTTTCCATAACCAAGGAAACTCTTTAAAAGAAAGCATTTAATTGAGGGTTTGCTTATAATTTAGAGTTTTAGTCCACTATCATCATGGCAGTAGGCATGGCAGTCAAGATGCTAAAGAAGTAGTTGAGAGTTCTACATACTGATTTGCAGTGACACACTACCTCCAAACAGCCTATACCTCCGAATCCTTCTAATCTTTTCAAATACTTCTACTCCCTGGTGACTAAGCATTTAAATATATGAGCCTGTGAGGGTATTCTTATTCAAACCACCACAGTAACTGTTAATTGACTGTAGCTCTTCATCTGGGAGTAGGGATTTTTGGTGTCTCCCATTCACATTAGCATGTCAATGGTGGTATCAGTTTCCTGATTTCTATGATTAATCCAGATTATATATTCTGACCTGTAGATTCAGATATAGGATTTGCAAATAAGAGAGCATGTGACATTTCTCTTTGTGGATCTACATTACCTCACCCAATATAATACTTTCTAGTTGCATCTATTTATATATTTAAGGGCTTCATTTTTTCTTTGTAGTTGAAGAATAATCCATGAATATGTACCCAGTTTACATCATCCATTTGATGGTTGAAAGACATTAAAGCTTCTTCCATTTCCTATAAAAAGGAGTGAAAAAATAAATAAATAAAAAAGGAGTGAAATACCATATATGTTAAAATGTGGATCATCATCAAAAACATTGTATAAAACAAGATAATTTAGACCAAAAGATTATCTGTTTAATAATTTCTTTTATATAAAATACAAAGAGCATATTAAACCATAGAGACAGAAATCAGCTATTAATTATTGTTAGCGACTAAGAAGAGAGAGCTGTGAATGGTGCCTAGGCGATACAAGGGTTGTTTAGGGTTTAATGAAAGTATTTTATAACAGTAGAAGTGAAGGTTGCACAATTTTTTGAATGTGCTATATACTACTGAGTTACACATTTTATAATGGTTAACTTCACATTTTATGAATTTTCCTTACAAAGGACAATAGAGATGACTGATTTTAGAAATAATATGTATACTTACATGTTTTCTAGACTAGTGGCTTTCATCTTTTATGGGTTATAACGCCTTTGAAAATTTAAGTTTTATTCATATTTTATTTGGTACATGAGAGAGAAATAGAGAGAAGGGAGAGACGGAGATGAATTTGAATGAATTTGGAGGGCGACTTTCAGCAGTCAGTTCTCTTCCACCTTGCTGTGGTAGGTCCTCTTTTGTTGTTTCTGCTGAGCAGTGTGCTCAAGGATAGTTGTCCCACAGGCTTCTGGGAAATTCTCCTGTCTCTGACTCTCATCTCCCCTCAGGAGTTCTTAGTTACACCACATCTAGCTTGTTTACATGGACATGGGTTCTGTAATTGAACTGAAGTCAAAATTGGGTTATCAAGCTAGTTCAGCAGATGTTTTTATCCACAAAGTCATCTGCTCACTCTAGGCCTTTGACCATTTAATAAAAACTAACAAGTCTATTCTCATCAAATGTATACATTAAATAAAATTTTATGCCTGTATATATAATTTTGAACATAATTTTAAGGGGTCTGTAGTTTAAAAATGTCTGAACTCAAGGAATAAGTGAGCATTCTGTTTCTCCTGCCCCCTATTGCATTCATGCATAATGTCTTCTCTTTTCTCAAGCTTATTTCCTACTTCCTCATTATGTCAACTTGCTTACATATCAGAATTATTTTTAGAATCCTACAAAAGTGTATATAATCCACTGAGTATGAACACTGAGTCCTATACATATGAACCTTATATATTTCTCATCTTGGGTCCTCAGTTTGGGATATGTGGCTCAGATCAACCAGTACAGACAGGATGTCAGATACCAAGTCAGAAAGTATCCAGGATATGAGTATGGATTTCAGTCAAAAACCCTGAAGGATGGCTAGGCACTTTTCAGGTGCATGGGAGGTGAACATAACAGAGTTGAGAGACTTTGCAGGCTATACCTTCCCAGTAAAATGAAAGTACGAAGGCAGTGTTTAGGGAAGCTTTTATCCAAGCATTGTGAATAACCACAGAAGCAAACAGGTCTAAGGGCTCTCCCTGCAACATGTAATTCTCCAGGCTTCATGGTAACCCCAAATTGCAGGAGGATAGAGAGGATCTGTTCTTACTCTCCTCTCTGCTGGGGCTAAACTATCCTGGTGGGAATTTGGAAGGAATGGATCAAGCAAATTTATTAAAATGGCATCCTGTGTCACCTACCATGTTTTTTTTGTTTTTTTTTTTAAATTATTATTTTACATGTCCATCCCAGTTCCCTCTCCCTCCCTTCCTCCCTCTCTCCCTCTCTCACTCCCTCCCTCCTTCCCTCTCTCTGCAACGTAGTTTTTGAGGTTATCAACACATTCAAGTGCCTGGATGCAGAAAAAAGAGGAGAGGCTCTAAAGCATGGGCAGGGAGAGGGAAATGATACCTTCCTTTTCTCTTCACAAGGGACAAATGACACAAATTCTCTGTAAGCCCCATAACCTGAACTACCTGGTTCATAGCTCTTTCCTTTCCCCAAATTGAGTGAAATGTCTACAGCCCAATTTTCAAAACTGGCACCGCATTAATTATTAGATTTCACCTATCATTTACCAATTGTTTGGAAACACTGGATAAATAAGTATTTAAAAAAACAATGCATGATAGTACCAGCTACTCATGAAAAGAAGTTAAAGGTATTTTACATGTGGCCAATTCAATTCAATTACAAACTGGACAGGTCTTCTGAGTAGAAATATTTCCTCCTCTATCTTTATTTATCAACATTTTATTTTTTCTTTTTAAAATTTGAATTAGAACAATCTTGTTTTACATGTTAATCCCAGTTCCTTCTCCCTCCCATGCCTCCCACCTACCCCCATCGTATCCCCTTTCTGCCCCCCTGGGAGAGTGAGGCCTTCCATGGGGGATCTTCAAATTCTATCACATCATTTGGAGTAGGGCCCAGGCCTTCCCCCATGTGTCTAGGCTGAGGGAGGATCCCTCTATGTGGGATGGGCTCCCAAATTCCATCCCTATACTAGGAATAAATACTGATCTACTACCAGAGGCCCCACAGACTGCCCAGTCCTCCTAACTAACACCCATGTTCAGGGGGTCTGGGTCAGTCCTATGCTGGTTTTCCAGCTGTCAGACTGGGGTCCACGACCTCCCCCTTGTTCAGGTCAGCTCTTTCTGTGGGTTTCTCCAGCCTGTTCTTGATCCCTTTGCTCATCACTCCTCCCTATCTGCAGCTGAATTCCAAGAGTTCAGCTCAGTGTTTAGCTGAAACACTTTATTTTAAATGAATTAGTTATGTGCCTATAAGAGTAGCTCATGATCAACAGAGTATATAAAATGAAAAAAACTATTTAAAAGAAAACCTTTATTTTAACAGCTTGCTTTCCTTCCAAATTCTCCACCCTGTGCCCTGTGCCCTTCATGTGCAAGTGTAAAGTAGACCATGTGAAGAATGAACATCAGTGGCCGAGAGAGGAAGTGGATTGAAGGAGTACATGATTTGCGATTTTAAAAAAGTGCCCCCCTCCCAAATCAACTGAGATCTAAAGAGGCAGCAGTGTTAGGAAAAGATGCAGCCTCCCTCTAATAACCACACAGGACTAAACACATACCACCGGACGAACTATATTTGACCTCTGGCATTTGCAAGTAACAAAATGAATGACAAGGCCTCATGCTGTGGGGGAAGGGACAGAAGGTGGTGGGGGTAGTGAGGGAAAAAGTAGGCTGGCCCCTGACGCACTTTCTGGTGCTTGGGAGGAGAACTAGGGACCGGAGCCCACTGGTGACGTTTTGTCACGTGATCAGGAGCAGACGTATGCAGAAGTCCCTCTCTTCCAGGTACCAGCAGCTACCAGCTCCTTATCTCTGTGGAGGAAGGCAGACTTGAAACTGAGCTACAGAAGGGGGGCGGGCAACTGCCCTATAGCCCGGCAGGTTGGTACAAGCCGGGGGATATCTGAGGGAGGGGTAGTAATGGACAGAGGCTACCGAGCGAGGATTCTGTCTGCTTTTCAAATACCGCCCCCTTTCCACCCCCATTCATTTTGGCGCAGAAGATTGTGTGAGTGTAGGGGGTAGCAGCTCTTATATCCTTGGAGAAATGTGGGCTAATGGCAGAAGGAAATATGAGAGGGAAGTATTTCCATGGTATAGCTACAAATCTTTCACTGCCTGCAGACCTCTGGGTAGGAATGACAGGAGGCTAAGACCAGAACTGATTCAAAACCAGATACCCTACTCCTTTCCAGATGCTCACCGACTTGATGCAGGAAATGGATGGGGACGGGGACAGGGGTCATTGGAGGAAGATCAGGGGTATAGAATGCCAATCCGAACAGTGATTGAATTACATAGGCTTACAGAGGAGGAGGGCAGGGGGGGGAGGGGACAGCGGGGGAGTTGGGGTGGTGATGGCCTAAACCATTTTAGGTAGCAGAAGAGGGGCACAGGCCCTGACTCCAGGCTGAGGAAGGTGGACTGCCCCAGGCCAAGGCTTGAGTTCTCCCTTTCTCCTCTCCATCCCCCAACCATTTTGGAGCCCAAAATGGAAGGCCGAGGGGATCAAGGGTGGGGGTTGCTACATAAGAGAGCAACAGAGGTTTAGTGCCGTGGCGTTCAGATCCCAGATAGGGGGTGACTTCTTAATAGGAAGGTTAGAAAGGAGATTTTACGGACCCAAAATGGTAGAGTTCAGAAATAATTTGTCCCTTTCGTTGTAAAAAGCAGTCTTTTTTTTTTTTTTTTTTTTTTCTGTATACGTGGGGAGGAAGGTGTGAGCGAAGCAGCGCCGTTATGTCTGCCCTCCTCCTTCTACTATCTCCATTTTCAGAAAAGTATCCAGCTATGCATTATCAAGGCACCCTGTAGTGGGGGTGGGGGCTGATACAGAGAGACCTGAGTGAAGCAATATCCACCTTCTGCCTTTCACAGTTCAGCGATGTGAGAGTAGATTTGGGAAGGGAATTCAGACACAGAGAAAGGGTTTGGAAAGATTTTTTTTTTCATTCTCACAACTCAGGACTGGAAAAGGGGAAACTGTCCAGGGAGAAACTCAGAGAACCCTGTGAAAGGGGTGATGGAGTGGGAGGGAGGAATTGGCAAAGTTTTGACAAAGATTCTACGACCTGCTGGCCAGTCATTCAGATTTCTAATCCTTCATTCACCACCTGATTCCTGTCTCCCCACAGGTCTTCAGGTCTGTGGTTGTGGGCACCAGTCCAGCCAAGAAAAGGAAAGCCCTGCAGTATCAGTGCAGGTTAGTAGGAGAATGAATGTGTCGCACCACCTCAGCAAGTGGAACCAAAGCAGGGGAGGCCACTGCTTGCCTCCTTCCTCCGACTTCCCTTATAGCAATATCAAGGCACATTGCAAGACCCTAAGAGAATGTGACCCTTTGTAGCTGGTGAGGCTAAAGAGGAGGCTATGAAAGTGGGGAGGGAAAAAAAGGCATTTGCCATGTTCTCCAAGAGTACCAGGACACCCCTGAAATCAGGATATGCTGTTTATAAGTGAAAGGATGAGGGGAAAAAATGAAATTGTCCTGCAGGGTTCCTGCAGTTCTTTATAAGTTGAAACTACACAGTGCCTCTGGGGTTTAGAAAGCATTATTCTCCACCAGTTCTTTCCTAGGACATTCCTTTTTTTTTTTTTTTTTTTTTTTTTTCTTAGAGATAGGGTTTCTCTGTATTGCTTTGGAGTCTGTCCTAGAACTCGCTCTGTAGACCAGGCTGGCCTCGAACTCACAGAGATCCATTTGCCTCTGCCTCCCAAGTGCTGGGATTTAAATGGTGAGTCACCGAGGCCTGGTGAATGTTGCTTTAACAGTAGGGGGAAACACCTTTGGAATTTCCTACTAAGTTAGTTCATGTAAATATGTATGAAGTATGTGGGGAAAGGAAAAGGAATGTAAGTGTAAGAGTTCACCTGAGAGGCAGACTAGGATTGGGTTGGCAGAACTATGAGCCAAGGAAAGCAACTGTTAAAACCTTGTAGGTCTGTAGGCTTTCAGTGTTCTCTTCTTTGTCTTCTAGGACAAGCAGCAAAGGAAAGTCGCAACATGGAGAAGTTCTACAAAGAAAATGAAGGAAAGCCAGAAAACAAGGGAAGGGCAGAAGATGAAGGAAGTACAGAAGCGGGAGGAAATGCAGATGAAGACAAGTCAGATGCAGAGGGGAAGCCAGCACGCCAGGGGAAGCTAGAAGAGGGGGGAGGGCCAGGTGAGCAGGGACAACAGAAAAGTGAGGGGAAGTCAGAAAAGCAGGGAAAGTCTGAAGGGGAGGGCAAGCGCCAGGGGGAGGGCAAGCAGGATTCCCAGGCAAAGCCAGCCAGCGAGGCGCGCGCAGCAGAAAAGCGCCCTGCTGAAGATTATGTGCCCCGGAAAGCAAAACGAAAAACAGACAGGGGGACAGATGATTCTCCCAAGGACTCCCAGGAGGACTTACAGGACAGGCATGTAAGCAGTGAGGAGATGATGAGGGAGTGTGCAGATGTGACAAGGGCTCAGGAAGAGCTGAGGAAGAGGCAGAAGATGGGAGGTTTTCACTGGATGCCAAGAGATGCACAGGATGCGCTAGTCCCCCGGGGCCAACGGGGAGTCAGGGGTGTGAGGGGCGGAGGCAGGGGCCAGAAGGACTTGGAAGATGCTCCTTTTGTTTAATGTCTTTGACTTTCCTTCTGATTTCTTTGATGGGAAATATTGCCAGCCCTGCTTTCCCTGGCAGGTATCTGCCAGGCTCTGTGCTTTAACCTTGTGCTGATATTTTCCCTTAGGTGTGTCTCTTGTTACCAGCAGAAAGTACTATGTCTTTTAGTAAAGGACTTTCACCCATGTGCATGGAAGAAATGTTCATGGTATACTGGAAAATAATAAAGATAACAGTTTGCAGAACCATAGATATAGTATCTGTCCATTTTTGAAAACAAAACAATCACATAGAATATTTACACATAAGGAAAACTGTGCAACTACATAGACTTGAGAGAAAGAATGGCTGTCTCTGTGTGGTGAGACTTAAGATTTCATTTTTCTAATATAACCTCCTCCCCATTAAGAATAGAGGATAGTTTTATTATAAAAGAAACAATAAAAAATAAAATAAAGGGCTGGGTGCAGTGGCACACTCCTTTAGACCTAGGGTTCTAGAGGAAGTGGTAAGTAGATCCGTGACTTAGAGGCCTTCCTAGTCTTTATGAACAGCCAACTCAGGCCAGCCAGGATTACAGAGGCTCTCAAAAATAACTACTAAGCTCATGAAGGCAAAGGAGATGCTTCAAATTATTGTTAGTATACAGAGTCACAGGTAAAACTACTCTTACCTCTGGGACTTCAAGTTGAAGGAATTTTTGCAGTCCCTGCCAATGATACTGCTTCCTTGTCATGTAAAATGGGGATGAGGCAAGTCAAATTTGGCAATGGGTGCTGCTCCTGCACATGAGCAGCACCAGATCAGCCACTTGAGGGATGACTGAAGGAAGTCTCAATTATGCCCAGGAAGATGCAGAAAGCCGAGAAGCGCGTGATACCTTCCCTTGGGCAAATGCCACATCCGCTGGGCATTGTGCCTTCTCATTGTGCCTTCTTTTGAGACACCCACTGGTATTAGTGAGCTAAAATCCTTAAGGTAACAATGCCCCTGTTAAGTAGAATGTATTTACTTTTTTTTCCCATTCTGATGTGTTTACAAAGAGGCTTTTCTCACTTTAATATTTATCAATCATAAAAAGAGGTGGAAAATGCTTTCTAAATTTTTAACTAAAAATTACATTCACTAGATTTATCTTTATTATTCGTTTGTTTATTTACTTTGTGACAGGGTCTCATATAAGCCTAGCCTGGCCTTGAACTTATATATGTATATAAGCAATGACCTTTTGATGTTTTTTAATCCTTCTGTGTCTATATCCTTAGTGCTGGAATTATAGGTATGCGCCACTAAATCAGGTTTTTGAAGAACCAATGACCAAATTCAGGGCTTTATGCATTCTAGACAAATATTCTACCAATTGAGGTGTCTCAGACTAGCCCTTTAAAAAGCCAATAACTTACCTCTCCTTTTTGCTTCCCACAACACTTAATAGAAAGTTACAAAATAAACAAATTAACCATCAAGTCAGAAGACCTCAGTTTTTCTGCTACTTCTGCTCTTGGTTGTATGTGTACTCATAAATATGTTATTGTTAAAGTAATTGTCTCATGTAGACATGGCTGTACTGTACCTGGCTATGTAGCTGAGGCTGGCCTTACATTCCTGAGCCTCCTCCCTCTATCTCCCAAGTGATGGGATTATAGGCATTAGCTATCACATTTGTCTCATGTAACTTTATTCTTATTCAACTGAAATTTGCCATTTCAAAAGAAACATGGCAAGGGAGAAATTATCGTACAATTCCTTTCCAACTGGTTTAACATTGCTTGCAAAAGTTGAAAGCTACTGGTAGAATATCTGCATGAAAATCCTATAATCTTGGCTTCCACTTGAGACCTGAGTCATCAGAAACTCTTCTGATTTTATATTCCACATTTAGTTCACTTTAAAGAATTTTACTCAATCCATTCATTTGTGAGAGGTGTGTGTGTGTGTGTGTGTGTGTGTGTGTGTGTGTGTGTGTGTGTGTGTGTGTACCATGATGTACTTGTGGAGAAGAGAGGACAACTTTCAGGAGTCACTTCTCTCTCCTTCTATCATGTAGGAAGTAGAGATTAAACCAGATGACCCTTTTACATGCTGACTCATCCCTCCAGGCCTTAATTTTGTGTTTCATAAAATAGATACATACACTAAAATGAAAACACCAATGGCACATAAGAGTTTATTATTAGTAAACACTGCAGTTTGTGTTGCCATTTCATGTTCCCAATGTGATTACGTTTGGCTTCTGATAACTACCAAATATTTAATGAAATGTAATTCATATTTGATGAAATGTAATTCAGCGATCACAAAATTTACTCACTTAAGTGCACAATTAAGTACTTTTTAAATATGGTAGCAGAGTTCTGAAACCATCACATTACCGAGTTCTAAATTAGATATTTTCATCACCCTAAAAAAGAAACCTTATCCTCATTGACACTGTGCCTATTCCCTGTCCCTAGCATCTGCTAAGCAGTGATCCTTTTTCTGTCTGTACGGATTTGCCCATTCACATAAATAGAATCATACGCTACACGCCTTGTTGTATCTGTTCTTTTTAACTTGTTATACTGTTACAGCATACATCATCACTAACTATTTGTGGGTAAGGTTTTGTTTCAATTTTTTTTTTTGTTTTCTTGAGTATATTCTTAGGAGATGAATTTCTAAACTCTATAATAACCTGGCATAAGTTTTGAAGACCTGCCAAAATGTTTTCTAAAACAACTGTGACACTAGATAGTCATACCAGGAGTGTATTAAGGTTCCAGTTTCTCAATATCTTTGCTGACAAAATTTATTATAACACTTTTATTTGATTATAAAGTATCACCTCATAAATATTTTGTTTTGAAATTTCCTAATGATTAGCAATTCACCTTTTTCCATATTCTTATGACTATTTATATATCTTCTGAAGAGATATGTTTAGCCAATTATTATGTTGAATTTTGTGTGTTTTTTGAGACAGCTCTCTCTTTGTAGTCCTGGCTGTCCTGAACTCAATATGTAGACCAGGTAGTCTTTGAACTCATGGAGATTGGCCTGCATCTGACTCTCAAGTGCTGGGTTTGTTGATTTTAAAACTAGATTGATAGTCTTTTTTTATTGTTGAGTTGGAATAATTCCTCATCTAGTTGCTAAGAATAGCCATTATCTATGGGCCTTCTGATATGATAATGGAGTATATTCTGCCTTATCATAGAGTTGATCAGATTTCCAGTGTCATAATGAATGTCTTTGGATAATCAACTTTTAAAAAAGGAAAAGGTATGATTGGAGAGATGGTTCAGAGGTTGAAAACACTGGCTATTCCTCCAAAGGACCTTGGATTGATTCCCAGTACCTACTCCATGGGAACCATCTCTAATTCCAGTTCCAGGAGATCTGACATCCTGTTCTTGTCTCTGGGGGTACTGCATGCACTTGGTACACTTGCATACATGCAGGTAAAGCACCTATACCCATAAAATAAAAGAGAGAAGGAGAGAGAGAGAGGGAGAGAGTTGCAAAGTTACAGTACCCAAGTAAATGCCAAGTGTGATGGTGTACATCTACAACTCTAGAACTTGACAGGGGTAGAGTGGTGGTAGGAGTGAGATGAGTAGATTCCTGAAGTTTTGTGGACATTCACTCTAAGCAATCAGTGGACTACAGTCTCAGAGAACATGTCTCAAAAAGTAAAGTTGAGGAGCTAGAGAAATGATTCAGTGGTGCACTTGCTGCTCTTGCACAGGCTTGGTTTCCAGCACCTATGCTGCATGACTCATACCACCTGTAATTCCAACTCCAGGCACCATCTTCTGGCCTCTGTGGGTACTGCATTCATGTGGTGCAGGTAAAGACAAGCATGAATATACACATACACACATACAGATAAATAAAAGGGGCCTGGAAAGATCCATAAATGGTAAAGAGCACTTGGTGCTCTTCGAGAGGACTCTGGTTCCATTCCCAGAATTTACATGACAGCTCACAATTATTTGTTATTCCAGTTCCAGGGGATGTAACACCTCTTTCAGCATCTATGGACACCAGGTATACATATGATACAAAGATAATTGCCTCTCAAGTGTTGGGATTAAAAGTGTAAGCCACCACAGCCAGGCAATGCTGCATGCCTTTAATTCCAGCACTCAGGAAACAGAGGTGGGTTAATATCTATAAATTCAAGGTGAGTTTGATTTACATAGAAAATTCTAAAACAGCCAAGGCTGCATAGAGACTCCCAGTGTCAAAAAAGTCAAACAACAGCAAAACTTAAAAGGAACACTCAGAGTCTATGGCACTGGAATCTGTTAGTCCTTTCTCCTCCCTATCTGAACACGTTGAGAACAACCCAGCAGTGGGATTTCATCTGCCTCACTTCACTCTCAGAGGCTCATAGCATCTTTGCCACAGACAGAACTTCTCATTCTATATTAAACTGTGTTGCACAGGCTAAGTTCTGAATGGGTGCAACTGAGAAATGGGGGCTTTTATGACTAACTACTACTTTTTAGAAAGTGGTTTTAGCTCCAGCAGACTGGTGGAACTATTGGGGCCCCCACATTCCTGGGTGAGAATAGGTAAGAAAACTTGAATGAAAGCAGCGTCCATCTTCAGTGTATTGCTCAGACCCTAAAGCAGGAGTGTGTTTTAGAAACAAATATGTTACTGTATTCATCCCTAGCTGACAAGTCTTAGATCAGACACTATGCTGGGCAAGAATTGGGCTTTAAAGTATGGGCCTCCTATATCCTTGCTTAAATCTGGATATTAGTCAATAAATGATAACCAAGCTACAATCCATAGATCCAGAGAGATTAGGCATAGAGAAAGGTACCAGGAGAGGGATACATGGAACTCCCTGGGAAGGGGAAATAGGATGGCTTTTATGGGTGGAATGGAGTGGGGAGGGGGCAAGAACTGGAGGATCATGTGGGAAGGAGGAGAGATGAGACTGAGGAAGGGAATGAGGGGAGAGATAGCTAGAATTGAGAGGATATACAGAACCTAATGCAGGAGAAAGTAACAATAAATTGATTTTTGAATCCTAATGCTATATACTCATAGATCAGTGACTAATTCACTCATCATCAGTGAGGCTTCCTCCTGCAGCAGATGGGAAGAAATACGGAGACAAAAACAAAAACAACTGAGTAAAGCTCCTGAAACAATATGCTCAGGGCTGACATGGGTCTGAACCAGGCCCCCTGCATGTGTACCATAGTTTTTAGTTTATGAGACTCCTGAGTATGCGAATGAGCGGCTATCTGA